CTTTTAAAACATTTGTTATTTCACCGATGTAGTAACAAAAACAAATGCACCTTGTCCATATGTATAAGAAGGAAGAAAGATTTCTTTACCAACTACTGGTAAGCAAGTAAGACAAACAAATCAAAGTGCTCGACTATATAGGCAGCACAATTTTCGCCGATTCGTAGTGTTAATTGTTGATGCATTTTAAGTGAGAACTTTTTTTGCAGATAACTAAGTAAGTTTACATGAATTGAAAGTACGTATATTGAAAGAGATCGCGTTGAACATGAAGACACTCAAATCGTATCGTTGTTGCTAATAAAAAAAATATGATGTTTTTCCCTATATTTTATTGTTCGGGGAAGAACGCGAATGACATATGTACACCGCTCAAAAATTTGGACAGACACTAACAGCTAGCAATAAAACAACTGCTCACAATTTGCAGATTGAATTCTTTCCCACTAGTTTTTTAGAACATAATCATCATTTACCAGTTTTAAACAATTTTCTACCTGTATAAAAGATGGCTGTAGGTGGAGGAGACGAAACTACTACACAACGCATGTTGCGAATGACTGACATTATCAATGAACCTCTCGAGTTCCTGGCCCCTATTAGTGGTTATGCTAAAATGCCACTAGTGTCACTCGAACAAGCAATAGAACCCCTGGTCTCTATTCTACCAGAAGTGCAAAGTTATGCCTATGTGACCAAACAAAGATGCAAGAAACCTGCTGATAACTTGACACAGGATGAATCCGCTTCGATCATGCTCTATACAATGGCATGGGAGCCACTAGAAGAATGCTTGTACAATGTTCTCAATCAAACATTACGATCAGCAAATCGACAACAAAAGCTAAAACCATGGTATTCTTATTTGAGACTTTTTCTCAATGCATTACTTCGACTTCCACCACTCAATGAAACTATCTACAGAGGTGTAAAACTAAACATGAGTGATCGATATGTAAGAGGTGAAACAATTGTTTGGTGGGGTTTCTCATCATCTACCAGTCATGTCGAAGTTCTTCAATCAACCGACTTTTTGGGTAAAACAGGTGTTAGAACCATCTTCAATATAAAATGCGAATCAGCAAGAGACATTCGTAAACACTCTTATTTTCCAGAGGAAAGCGAAGTGTTGGTTCTTGCTGCCACACAGTTCGAAGTGATGGGCTGTCTCGACCAGGGTGATCTTCGTATAATCCAGCTGAAAGAAACTCGACCACCACATGCCCTAATGCAGTTGCCACCAGTTGTTGGCTCTTTACCGCAAAGTTCACCACCACCAGCAGGTAATTAAAATCCGAAGCATGTTTTTGGTGTCGGAGATATAAGGATATGATGGGAGGAGGACGCGTCCGTTGTCAAGTCATTCAGAAGAACTGATATGATAGTTGAATAATGTAGAAAATTAGAGTTACGACTTTTTGCTTGTTAGTTCCTTGAGCAGGTAATATGAATTTCTGGTATATGATGTCTTTCTTTTTGGGATATGACTAATATATTTAAGGGTGTTGCAAGTGACATACTGTGATTAGTGTGCAAAGCGTCTCTGTTCTCTGATAAAGTCATATGTGGTTTTGAAAACAAAACAGGGAGTTAACAATCATTAACATCGATTCTTTCCTTACACTCAGAAATAGCTTCTGATTATTAATCTTCTTAATTTTTACTTTGACTCCTTGTCACAGCTTCAGTTCCCAAAGAAAAAGCAAGCAGCACTACCAATAAAACCACAGTTGCACCAACAGCACAGTCTTTGCATAAGCTGCCACCCAAACCTGTGTACAGCAATGCAGATCTGGCAAAACAAATTGCTAATCAAAGGGGCAAAACTGAATTGAAATTAAACTTTAAACGTCTGACCGATAAAGACATGGAAATCGTGGCTTATTATGCAATACAAGAAAAAAAAGTGAGTAATGTTCACTCTTTATCGAACAAGCGAAGAACACACACAATCGAGAGATAACTTTATCGATCAAGAGATGTACTTAGAAGAAGATACGTGTTACCAATATAATAAACAACGTCTCATTCCTTGGCTTACTTTTAGAAATAGGTTCTAAAATGTTAGAGGGACATTCGCTGAAGACAGAGACGTCCACAATCTTGGAAATGTCCTCGAGAAAATCGGTTGAACGCTATGGGTCATGAACCTAAAACAAGCATCCATATATTTTTCCGTCGAATTTTTCCGAGATTTCGCGTCTCTTTTTTGCCTTTCATCCAACCTTTTGATTCACCGCGCTTGAGATTCCCTAGTTCCAAGAGATCATTTCGCACGAGTGAACGGATTCATACCAATCGAATAGTTGCCCAAAAAAATATGGCATTAACCTTTCGTCGTCAACTACCTTTTCCGCCAGTGAACACTTGCTTCCAGGACTTCATAAAATCACCGTCAAAGAACGATTCATTAGGAATATTTCCTGTCACTCTCGACTGAAAACAGAATCTAGTTTGAGCACTGCATAGTTATGTGATCAGATATTAAAGACCACTACGATCCCATCCAACCAGTTAAAATGCTCGACAGGATGTTCTCATGCAAAACTACACCCACACTCAAAACTAACGCAGAGTCCAATTCAGCACATAACTCGAGAAATTCTGATCCGATATCCCTAAACACACCGTGAGTCCAACGATCTCTGCATACCTCCCTCCCTCTTTCACATCTCACCACTTCTATCTTCATGCAGACACTCACCACACTCGAACTCTCGCGGAATAAAATCGGCGCCGCGGGTGTCCAATACGTGAGTGATGCACTTCGACACAACACCGTGAGTCCAACGATCTCTGCATACCTCCCTCCCTCTTTCACATCTCACCACTTCTATCTTCATGCAGACGCTCACCGCACTCAACCTCTTTTTCAATCAAATCGGCGACGCGGGTGTCCAATACGTGAGTGATGCACTTCGACGCAACACCGTGAGTCCAACGATCTCTGCATACCTCCCTCCCTCTTTCACATCTCACCACTTCTATCTTCATGCAGACGCTCGCCACACTCAACCTCGGAGGCAATAAAATCGGCGCCGCGGGTGCCCAATACGTGAGTGATGCACTTCGACACAACACCGTGAGTCCAACGATCTCTGCATACCTCCCTCCCTCTTTCACATCTCACCACTTCTATCTTCATGCAGACACTCACCACACTCAACCTCGAAAACAATAAAATCGGCGACGCGGGTGCCCAATACGTGAGTGATGCACTTCGACACAACACCGTGAGTCCAACGATCTCTGCATACCTCCCTCCCTCCCTCTTTCACATCTCACCACTTCTATCTTCATGCAGACACTCACCGCACTCGACGTCTCGTGGAATCAAATCGGCGAGAAGGGTGCCCAATACTTGAGAAGCGCGAAAGAACGCAACGGGAACTTGAAATTATCTTTTTAGATTTTCTGCGGAGAAAAGAGTAGATTTTTTATTTTGAAACGTGTGAGGAAATAAACGAAGTATGGGATGAAAGAAGTGATATTCAAAGATGTTAGGGTGTTTGGTGGCGTAACTTAGTGAGATAAATGGTGACGAAGAAACATGTTTTGATGTTGTTTGAACGACGTTATGGTTTGGTTGAGTGGGCGAGTGTGAAATAATGAGAAATTGCTGTACTTATGGGAAAATGCGGATGTTGCGATCTGCACGAAAGGAAGGTGGAGAATGCGAAGGTGTGAGCTAGTCTGATTGGAGAGAAGTATCGATGGATGAGGCGAAATATGGCGAATGTAACCTGAGATCTTGTGAAAACAGTATACATTTGTTACCTCAAATGTTGGTTTGGAGAAAAAAGTTGAGAAGTCGTACTTGATATCATTGGTTAAAGATCACTTTAAAAGGTCATAGATCGGACTTCTAGTTCTGGAATACGTACGAGATATTTGGTATAGAAATGATAATCACGAACGGTGAAACCGTCTGGATTTTGGAGAAGAAGGTAGAAAGCAGTGAGCTGATGAGTTAAAAGAGAAGCAATTGTGTCCGCATGAAGAAAAAATGTATTCCTACACAAATGACAAATTTGTATATTTATAAACAGGGAGAGAACAGGTTAAAAACTCTGAAATCAAATTGTTAAAAGTTTGTCAGTATTTATCGCTGATGATTGGGTAGAAGGGCTCGTATTCTGTTCTGTATTAGACTGCTCATTCGTAGAGCTCTTCGCGTTGGATACATCGGGATTGAATGTGGTTGGCGATTGTTGATCAACATATTGAATCAGTAATTCAGCAAATGACTAGAAGAAAAACTTTTCTAAAACGAAGACTTTCTATTGCATTGACAAACCTTATCAGGCTGAGTACTCGATGAAGGTTTTGTTCGAACAGGATATCCACCACCAAGCCAACTACTTAACCAACCGGAACTAGTACTATTAGCATAATTATTCGATATCGCATTCATTGCTTTGTCGTATTCATCCTGAGTAAATTCTACGAGTGCACTTAGGATCGGAATTACTTCTTGTTGCTTATCAATCGGTGTTTGAAAGTACGACAGAAGAATGTTTTTCAGCAATTGCTTCTCTACCCTTGTACTATTTGATGATTGAAAATTTTCTTGGCAAGCAATGATCTGTTGTGCTTTAGTATCATATCACTTTGAAGTTCACTGATGAGTAAATCTTTTGTTTTCAATACTTCATTGGCGCTTTCCAAACATTGACGAATTTCGTTGTTTTCATTTATGAAACGAGCAATGGTTGAGTCTTGATGTGTATTTGCTTCTAATTTCGAAAGCTAAACAAAAATCTCCAAGTGAAATAGAAAACGATGGTGTCTAACCTTGTCTCGATTGATTCGGATTCCATTTTCCAATTGTTTTTTCTCAACAATAGCCAAATCTCGTTCGTGTGCGGTACATTTCAAATCGATTTGTATTTGATCGAACAACTGCTGACTCGATTTCCACCGTAAACTATTTTCTTCTAATACTTTCACTGATAATTCCAATTCCTCTTGTCTTGTTATCAATTCATTCTTCTTCGCAACCATTTCTTGCAATTGCTGTTCCCGTTCATTTAATTTCGCAGTTAATAGATCATTATCATCCGATTTCTTCTTTTGGTGATATAATAGATTTTGAAATGTATTCAATTCATTTTGACATTGCAAATAAGCTTCGTTTTTC